AATAATAATTATTATTATTATTATTAGTAGTAGTAGTAGTAAATTTAATTATTCTATAATAACATAATAATGTCTGTATATTTAATAATAATAATAATTATTATTATTAATTTAATTATATAATAATAATAATAATACTAAGCAAATAACAGTATATGATAAATGTGTAGCTTATGCTTTTTCCTACTCCTTTTTGGACATGTATAAGTTAATATGGTTTTGTTCCGTTTTGTTTTATTTATGTTCTTGACTATATGTGTGTATATATGTATGTTGTATGTGTATATACATATACTGTATATATACACATATATATTATTTTCTTTTTACTGTATTTCTACATGTTCAAAATAGTTATTCATTCATTCATTTAAAATCATAACAGGAACACCACCAAAATTTTTAAAATGACTGTCAATATAGCAAGTCTGTAAAAACTAGTTTTAAATCAACTAGTAATTAGATTAAAGTAGTATTAGTAATAATTAATAATAACAATATTTATTATTCTTATTACTATTATTTTTATTATTGTTAATTTAAATATAATACTACTACTAGTACTACTAATAATAATAATTTATATATCTTTAATAATGATTATTAATAATAAAAAATGATGATTAATAATAATAATAATAATAATGAACAAACAAATAATTATACTTAAAGTATATAATAATTGTAAAATTATAACAAAAGGAACAACAAAATTTAAAAAGGACTCAAAATAGCAAGTCTGCAAAAACTAGTTTTAAACCATCTGCTAATTAGGTGAAAGTAATAAAATTAATAATACTATTATTATTATTAATAATAATAAAATAGCAGTCAGGAATAGCAGTCAGTTTAACCTCTTAACCGTCACCCGTCCCCTCAGAAGTTTGCTTCACTATATTACAATTAAATCCTAATCTAATCATGACAAACTATATATCTTTGGAAAGGTCGAACACTTCTAAATAGATATTTCACCACGGTATTTTTTTTTGTTTTTTTTGTTACAAATTATGTAGAAACAGTAATAGATTAATTTATGACAAGAGTGCACTCTTAAAGGAACACTCCACTATTTGAGCGAGATGCTAACGGTCTAATCAGATTCAATTATCTATGCTAAGCTACAGCTAAAAGTGCTACCGCCAGACCCGGAGATCGGCTGAATGGATTCGAAAACGGTAAAACTCAACTGTTTAACTCTAGCGGAGTTAATGAGCCTATTTTCAAAAACAGTGGAGTGTTCCTTTAAAAAAAATCTACATCATAACAGGAGTTATCACGTTTTGTTATCGACCCCATCACGTTTTGTATACATCAATTGAAAGCGTAAAATCTCAAAAATCATCCTGTGAAAGCCATTTTAAAATCAGACATCGCATTACCATGGAAATGGTACATCAAAATCATATTACAATGTTTTCGTTCATGAATTACAACAATGTAAGTTTGGATAGTGCACAATATTCACGTCTATGTTCAAAAATAGCATGTCTGCAAAAACTAGTTTTAAGCCATCTGCTAATTAAGTGAAAGTAATACAATTAATAATAATAAAATAGCAGTCAGAGATAGCGAGTTTATACTGGTTATGGTAGCCTGAGGCCTCTCAGATGATCAGAGCACCACAGCCGTTCAGTAAGAGCACGTTTCTGGATCACCTGTGCGCTTATAGATGTATATATAATGTGTTTTGGATGTAATGGTACGCGAGTTGAACTCTTGACCTGGCCGTGAGTCTGCGGTGCTCCTCCTGCAGCTGCGTCAGCTCGATCTGAAGCCGTGCGCGCTCGTTCGCGGTGGCGTCCAGAGACTTGCGCGCGTCCGCGAGCTCGGTCTCGTACAGGCGGCGCACGCTCCCGACCTCCCTGCGCGCGTGCTCCTCCTTCTCCTCCAGCAGCAGCTGCAGGGACGACTTGTCGCTCTCCAGCTGCCGGACGCGCTCGATGTAGTTAGCCAGGCGGTCGTTGAGCTGCCGCAGGTCCTCCTTCTCCTGCAGGCGCGTCAGACGCGTCGGGCTGACGCCGGACGGAGACGCGCCGCTCCGCCTGGAGGAGCGCACGGCGGAGGAGCGGCTCTCCATCGGGGTGGAGGTGATCATGGCCGTGGCTGACGCACTTCAGCCCGGAGCGGCCGTTAGAAACAACCGTTAGAAAAGAGCAAAGACGCGCGAATTCACAGAAGTGAACTAAAACAGCGCTTCAGTCGCGTCAGAGCGTCAATATGGGCGCACGACGGCGCATATGTTTAATATACGCGCTACCGGACCGTGAGAAGCCCCAAAACTGACGGGATTCGCGTGAGGTCTGCGGTTACCGGCGCGTTCAGACCGGCGGACTTAACTCAACTGCGCTTCATTGCTGTCAGCTGCGCCGTGACGTCACATCACGAGACCGCGAGCTCGCTCAGAGCAGCGCATTTAAAGGGAAAGACGAAATAAAAGCAATTATCTAAATATAATTATTCACTAAAACTCTATTCCAGTCACTCAACTATCCCGAGTGTCATCACCTTTAAAAATATACGTTTTTATTTCATAATGAACTTAATTATAATATTGTATATATAGTTTTGATTATTTTTATTCTATTTAATATAGAGAGAGATACATAGGCTCCTATATAAAGTCCGTTCTCTTAAAGTACTCTTCTAATTCATCTTAAATTGAATTACATGAACATATACTAAAATGTACTTTTAAGATTTCAAGTACACAATCATTACACCCAAGTGCACTTTTCTCCACAAGGGCTGCAGGATTTCATTTAGTCAACTATCATTACATTTAATGATCAGTTAATGAAATTACGGTATTTAACTGCAAATTTAAGTTAAAACCATAAAACCTAAAACGTTGCTACCGTATTTTTTACGGTAAATTTTTTTAGGTTTTTTTACCGTAAATTTTACGGATTTTTTTTTTTACAGTGTATCATATCATAAAACCAGTTGACTTGCTACGGCTAAACATCTCATTTTGTGTTTCACAGAAGAAGTTTGGAATGAGGGCGAAAATCTGGACAAACCGGTGGTGAATCCGTCTCAAACAGACCGGTTCCGTGTTTAAAACAGCATGAGAAAAGTGCTGCTTTTCCAACCAACTAATCCCAAATTACATGAATTATCCTTCATTTATTGGAGACACCTGCAACCAACCAATTCTCAAATCAAATCAGTGATAAAAAAAAAAAGAAAACTTACTTAAATCTACTTCAGTCTTCAATCTTAAGACACAATCCATGCTAGAAAATGGATTGTGCATGGATAAACAAAACTGCATATGTAAAGTGTAATAGTGATTTGAAGTCTGTAAATACGGAAAATAAGGCACCTGATTCCAGGAGCGTTCTCTCGGACCGTCGGTCTGAGATGAACGTGTTTGGATCACTAAGAAACCATCCTGGTTTTGGTTCGGTTCATTCGGAGAGCTGAGAACCACAGTCCGACTGAACAGATTCAATCAAACACTATCTGAAGGCCTCAAACAGACTCTAGCTACGCAAACCCGTTGCATTTCTAAATCTGTAATTTATTGTACACACTAGTGGACACAAACATGAGCGGTCTTCAACCAGTTCTCTCTTAAAGTTAAAGTTAGTTGATTTATATCTAATAGCACACAAATGACGCATTTGAAGGAAACTATCGCTCCCTTGATTCCCGAGGTTTCCGTTCAACTCATTGTTGTTTTATGGAATACTGCATTGTTTATTATAAATGATTTATCCGTGCATGTCATTGTTTTAAGAAAAATCATATGACCTTGTAATCTTGAATCAAAATAACGTCCCCTTCCTTTGCAAATGACAACAATCCAATTGATTCAAGTCCCACCCTACATTTCTAGCTTAACTCATTCAAGAAGCCATTTCTCGATATACTTCAGTGAAGTGTTTCGGGCCTATATGTGACCCTGGAGCACAAAACCAGTCTTAAGTGTCAATTTTCCGAAATTGAGATTTGTGCATCATCTGGAAGCTGAATAAATATTGATGTGTGGTTTGTTAGGATAGGACAATATTTGGCCGAGATGCAACTATTTGAAAATCTGGAATCTGATGGTGCAAAAAAATCTAAATATTGAGAAAATCATCTTTAAAGTTGTCCAAATGAAGTTCTTAGCAATGCATATTACTAATCAAAAATTAAGTTTTGATATATTTACGGTAGGAAATTTACTAAATATCTTCATGGAACATGATCTTTACTTAATATCCTAATGATTTTTGGCATAAAAGAAAAATCTGTAATTTTGACCCATACAATGTATTGTTGGCTATTGCTACAAATATACCCCAGCGACTTAACACTGCTTTTGTGCTCCAGGGTCACAAATGAGATTCCTATATGATTTCCGAACCAACACGTACTGATTCAACATGCGTTCAGTCCGACTGTGAGCCTCGATCTCGCGAATGAACTTCACAAACTGGGCAGAACTTCAAACTAACGCCTGAACCCTGACACGCTCCCAAAATAAGGCTTTGGGGTGTAGGCACACAGAGGTCTGAATGAGCTAGCGTGGAGAATCAGCTTCAGATAGTGTCCAAACATTGAGCAGTAATCCGTCAGTCTCTCCGTCACTCAAAAAAACAACAACAACACGACATTATACGACTTCTACGCTGAAGATAGTACTAAGTATTTCTGTCTGTGAAGTACATGCTGGTGGCGAAACTATACGTTTGTGTTTGTGAGTGTGTAGTTCAGAGGAAAATGGATGGAGAAATGGCAGAATTGAGGAAGAAACAGAGAAAACAAAGCGTCAATGAAACCAGATAAAACCGGCCTTGTTTAAATGGGAATGGCGAGCAATGTTTGGCGGGAATATATACATATATATATTTGGCTTGTATACACAAGAATGTGTTCAAAAACATCTAGACAAACTGGAACTGAATGGAATAAATAATAATATAATTAATTATTATTAAATAATGAATAACAATTATGATTAATAGAGGAAAAAATGCTTTTATTTAGTTAAAAATTAATTGCAATAATAATAGCAGCATTATTACTATTATAAGTAATATTGTGAACAATAATAAAAGCATATTATCATTATTATTAATAACAATCATAATAATACCAGCATTAATTATTATTATTACTTTTTTATTAAATATAATAATAATAAAACAGCAGCATTATTAAATAATAATTAATGTTTTACTATTATTATAATTAATATTATTTACAATAATAAAAGCATTTATAATTATAATAATAATAGTAATTTATTATTAATAGTGCTAATTATTATTAAACTATTTATTATTATTAACAGTAAAACTATTATTATTTTTATTATTACTGTTACTATTATTATTGCTGTTGTTGTCATTGTCAATAATAATAATAATAAAGCAATGAGCCCCGTGAAGCCGTGGTTTACAGTGAATTTATAACAGCTAAGGGGCGTTGTTAGGCACGACGTGAAGCTGTTATAAATTCACCATATACGTAGTAAGGTTTCACAAAATAAAACAGAGCAAATAAAGTGTAATGATATTAATAAAAACAGTATTCTTCCACCAAACAATGTAGTTCCTCAGAAACAGTTGTGGTTGCAACAAAGTGGTTGCCGAGCAACACACAAACGTAAACAAAGGTGTATGTTACTTTGTAGAGTAATTTACAACAGCTTTGAACGCGGCTCAACCAATCAGAATCAAGGACCGGAACTATCCGCTTTATAATAATAATGTGAGGGAAGTCAGATATGCTTCATGCCACTCTTGATTGAGTTCCCACATGGATAAACACAGAGACAAAGAGATGCAGAGAGAAAGGAAAGAAAAGACCAAATAGAGCAGCTAGAGGGCGCCAGAGGCAGAGAACCGTTAAGCCATTAGCTTGAATACAGACAAGAACTTCAATACACATGCAAAGCAAACATCTGCAATGCCCGATCACGTAGATATACACAGTTTTCCGATGCTAAACGACAGTGTTCATGATAGCGCTGTAAAACAAACAATTCGCTTATTGAGGACACTTTGGGATTAGCTAGCTTGGTTGTCAATGCTTTGACATTCTGCATGAGAAAGAGTGAATACTGACGGATACTAGCGGTCAGGCTAGCGGGAACATCTCCCAAACGCGCCAAAATGTGAGCGTTTCAATTGGAAGAATCCAAACGAAACGCTTGCATCTTGGGGAGGTGCGCCAACTTTCAGTGCACACGACCGCCATGTTGTTAGCATAACAGAGATAACGTAACACATCGAGAAATGGGCTTTTGGCATTAAAGCACCGTTTAAGCTGCAGGCTTATGGAGACGTCTTGAGGTAAACAGTCCAGCATTTGAGTCCGAGAGGAATAAATAGAGAATTTAGTGTTTCTTAAAATAAACAAACAAACATTGAAATGGTGTGAATGAATGAGAGAGGTAGTTCATTTTGGTTAACAACGGCACCTGGTGGTTTGTGTTGTCCTTAATCAGCATTCACAGTCACCAACGATTCGTTCACCCGCTTCATCGTAAGTGCATGAATGTAAATTTCCTTCAGCTAGACTCAAGAAACCCGCACGGCTTTTAAAGATCTTTAAAGGAGGAAAAGTGCACGATGGGTTTCTTCAGTCTAGCTGTGCGGCGCAAGACCAACCGAGAGCTTCGCAAACAACTAAAGCGCTATGTTGGTCTGTTGCCTTCACTTCAGCCAAGAACATCCAACAGAGAAGAAGACGACCTTCAGAACGACCTCTTTAGGATCTTTGTGGATGCAAAGATTAACAGATTAGACAAGTCCAGAAGATGTTCTCCTACGCATCTACGACAAGGTCCCCCTCACGAAAATACTGATCAACGGAAACCGAAACGGCAGAAACCCCTTGTTTTTCCATTCATAACGTCCATCCGTTGACACCCAATGAAGCAAACCCAAAACTGGCGGGACTCTCGCGGTTGGAGGTCCCTTCTCTTTTAGCTGGTTTGAGGTGATGAGGGCAAGGCTTCATGCTAAATCCAGAGCGGGATACATAGGTTGTTGGTTTATTTCCCTTGTTGATCGGATGCAAGCGATCCAGTCGTGTTTGATCTGGATTTTGGGGGTGAAAATGGGCATTGGCAGTCAAGAAAACACTCAGCGCCATCATGCTGATCATCCAATGTTCTTTAGCGCTAGTAAAACTAGTATAATCCAACCGAAGCTTATCGTAACTGGTATATACATGTATCTGCAATCCACGTTTTTCCTATCCAGAGTAGGACGTGTTCCTACTCTCGAAGAATCTTCCAGCTGAGATAAATGAGACATCGCCGTTTTTTTTTTGTCTGGACGAGCCCCTCTTTCCGTTTCACCCGCTGTAATGTTAAAGCTTCGTCGAGTCCTGTGAACGGACTGTTACGTGTGTGTGTCAGATTGGCTGGTTTGAGGCAGCGGTTGTAGCTAAAAACAAAACTAAAGCACCAGTTTTGAGTTGAGTTTGCGAACGCGGAAACAGCTAATGCAGCTCAGTCTGTTTGAGATGTCTCGTCGATTTGCAGAAATAAAAATATAACAAGTTTGATGTCTCAGAATCCGTACAAAACTAAGCCATGATAATCATTTATAAACAATAAAATTCGATGTGGAATTCGCACCTAAAAGCATCAGGGGATAGATACGGTCTTAAAAGCTTATTATGTAATCCGAGAGAGAAATAGACACCAAAACATACGAAAATATCAGATTTGCATATTTCTCCCAAGCTTCTTTTCAGCTGATTAACTGTATTAGCCTATTCTTTTCTTTTAGACATATGCACTGAAACAATACGAGTGGTATTTACAGCTCATGACCACAAGAGGGCAGTGCTGGAAACTGCTGGGATGGGGGAAATCGGTGTGATTTACACAAATTCACTGTGTCCAGTTGAAACAAATTGTTGGACACGTATGCAAATTGGTGCATTTGTGCATATATTTACATAGACCAGCCCTATCCCATAAGCATGGTTTTACGAACCATCTTGAGTATGTAAATGTGGGTAGATGTACATAAATTGTTGACGGACAATTCTGCTCAACGCCCAACGTTTGAAGATGTGACATGACCGAAAACGATGCCTGCTTTCAAAAAAACCGCTGACTGCTCTTCAAAATCCAGCACTTTAGTGATGTACTACAGTGAAACGTTCTGATTTTGATGTCAAGATCTGATATCTCTGGGAGAGGGTAAAGTAAGGCCTTGTTTTGAACTGAATCCACTGATAGATCCAGATAATATGTGGTCGAAGCAGCCGGATAGCCGTGTTATCAATGAATCGAGCAGCATTCGGGCTGATCTCTGGGGCCGGTTCCTGCGTTTCGGCTCTCTTGTGGTCAACTAAGATCCTATCTATACAGACATCAGACCTACAGTCAGGCCCCCTTCTCTCAGTTTAGAGAGAGTGTGTGTGTGTGTGTGCGTGTGTGTGTGTAGTGTTTAGTGTGTCTATAATGCATCCGCCCTTGACATACAGGCACACATACTACTGACAGATCAATATATCAGACAGGCCACTGACCCAAAACCTAGTGAACTCCGAAGATTCTCAAAAGTAACTGATTTTGAACGTACTACAAAGGCAGCAACTCATACAAATAGCGCTTGATCTGACTTGCAATGGATTTCAATAGAATTAGACACTAGCATGTTACTAATCTAACAATGTGACATTCTAAAAATCATAAAAATAATTTTTAATCCCTGTTATTTATAATTTATCAATTATTTACAGTTATACTTATTTATAATACATTAAATTATAATTATAAACAAGTATAAGTTTATAACATTTATATATAATAATTTTATAAGTATATTTATAATCAATAATTCTCTCGCATGTAGCAGCAAACGCATAACAAAGGTGGTAACAAAATTACATAATTTTACTGTTTTTGAAAGGCAACAATGCAGCTGATTTATACATTCACATTGTTCCTACACCCTTGCATTCTGGGATTTTTTTCCCGTACTGTGTGTGTTGCAATGTGATATGGATGCATATATGTCTTGAAATGCCGCCTACGTAGGGCACTCACTAGGTTTTGGAACAGAGCCATTGTGAATTTGAATTGCATATAATATCGTTGATTGTGTACGTCACACACACACACACACA